GTCACTAAATAAACGATCATGTTGTACTTAATTAGCTATGACCATTAATCATCTATAAATAATAGACTGAAAACTGGTTCCAAATGTCGTCCATAACATCCAGACACTTTTGAGTAAAAGATAGGTTACGTGCCCTTGTTTTGAAATTAGTCTCGCTTAACCAGTCTATCGACCATTCTACGTCTGATTGACAGGTCGGGATAATCAAGACTACTTTTTTTACGAAACATAACAGAAAGCTAGAACAAGAAATTGAATTTAGAAATAAGCACTTTAGACAACTCAACAATTGTTTTAAGAAACTTGTAAAAGTAAAATGAAACTACTGCTAGTATCATGTTCCTGCTAACGAAAGTGATTCAGAGATATTATTTGTACTAAACCAAAAGATGCCGCTCTTAACGGTACAGTTAATGATAAATCAATTTAAAAAATAAAACAAACGTAATTTCTAAAGCTGCTGTAATAACCAAGAAGTTAAATTTTACTGCTATTCAAAATCGTCAACAATAGATTTTTTACCGGCTGTAATAGTTGATATATTTGTAGAGAATTGCACGTGCCATGGCTATTTATCGACCCAAAGAGAGTGCGGGGTAGTCAGAAATCAGTTCGAGACACGCAACTGAAGCGTGCACATTTAGCCGTGTCGAGACCAACTTTCTGTAGAGTGCACGGGTCATCCTACCATTGACTGCACACACAAACTTGTCGAATCACTGTAGTCATTTACTGAACACACAAACCTCTTGGAATATAATTTGATGATACATACAAACTTACAGTATGTATACGAGACCTCGATTTTTGTCTCAAGCGAAAGGGCGTGGTTCCCCCTTGTCAGTGATGCAGGACGGAGGGCCTGACAAGAAGAGCTGTCTAGTTGTTCGGATGGGACGAAAAACCGAGGTCCCGTGTACACATTGGCGTGCACGTAAAAGATCCCTTGACAGTTGGAATTCGATATAAGAGTAGGCCGTACTGCAGCTGCCAGGCAAAATTTCCCTCATAGCACACTGTATGGCGTATGCCCGTCTTCATTAGCCTAGTCGGAGCAGAACAGTAGGACACTAAACCCCATTTCATTTCATGTCCCACCCGAAGGACGATAAACTAGGATGTCAATTGTTGTTGTCCGAAAATAAAACCAAAGCTGGGATATAACCGATAGTGTATTACACTGTCGACATTTGCAGAAACAGAATGAATCATAAGCGAGTCCAAATTGTAAAGATAATACAGCTTTAAAGATGATTTTAATCAGATAAAATTACAGTAGCGGGTGTGATAGCGCGTGCTGATAATAGGTACTTGTCTGTGGTATGTACAACTTTAATCTCCTCGCCTACTGTCTTTTACACCTGACTGGATAATTATCATACCTTATAACAGGTGATACGGACTCTGAACATCTTAACTTGAGATTTTGGTTCGCCCGGTAACTCTTGCCGTCAATGGCTTTGTTACGATGAAAACCACAGAGATAAATAGGACAAAAATGTGTAGGCTTCGCGGAGCTCAAAATCTTGAGATTTCGGAAAAACGTAAAAAGAAAAACGTACAGCAGAGTTTATTTATATATGTCACATGAATATGCATCCCCCCTCCCCCACCCACCCCAATAAGAGGAAATTATACCCTATAGGATTTATACTCTCGAAATCGTCAGCAGTTATGTCCGTGACAGATAGAGCAAGCGGGCGAGGGTTGCGATGACGTAAGACAGCAACAAAAAAAAAAAAGAAAAAAAAAAAAAAAATACAGCAACCATAATTTAATTTCTGGAAAACCAAAAGGTCTTCTTGTACCTATTATCTTTTCAATTATGTTTGTTTTAAAATAGATTTTTACGTAGGATATTGGGGGGGGGGGGGGGTAGCGAGCGCGCGCTGTATCATAAAGTGTGTCATTGAGTCAACTGGCGTGGTTTCGAATCCCCGGTTGTACGTTACAAGGAGTAGGGTCGCCTGTCCAACCTCGTGGGTTTTCTCCGGGTCCTCCGGGTTCCTCCCACTGCTAAAGACCCCTACGCGCAAGCGAATTATGTAAATAAAATTAAACCATATGTTAGTCCCGAAATGACCTAGTTTGTGTCGAGTGGACGTTAAACCCCATTTCTCTCTCTCTCGTAGGATATTTTACATTCTAAAGCTGTTCAGAGATTCTTTATTACACGTTGGTCGTCTTGAATTCATTGAGTTCATTCGTAGTAACGTGAAATCGGTGGTGGTCGAGTAAGGAGCTAGCTGACTCTCCAGGTGGTCCTGGGTTCGTTTCCGGTGTTCATCGAGGGGGCCAGTGGCTCAGCCTAGGGGGCTTGGCAAGAAAGCGGAACTAGTCGTTCGATTGAGACGAAAGACCAAGGTACACGCGTGTGATCTCTGTTGTTGATATAAGGAACCCTACAGTTGGAATGTGTGGCGAAGGGCAGGCGGTAACTCCGCTCATATCACACTACATACGTATGCCAGTCTTTTCTACATCATTAGAGGGGGGGGGGGGTGGCCGAATAGTTAGCACGTGCGCGCTGTATCATTAGGTCTACTGGAGTGGTTTCGATTCCCCGGTTGTACGTGACAAGGAGTAGTGTCGCCTGTCCAATCTCGTGGGTTTTCTCCGCGTCCTCCGGTTCTCCCACTGCTAAATTGAAATAAAATTGAACCATATGTTAGTCCCGAAATGACCTTGTTTAGGTCGAGTGGACGTTAAACCCCAGCTCTCTCTCGTTCTCTCTCTCGCTCTCTCTCTACATGATTGTGAAATAATTATTCTTTGGAAAATATACATATTGGAACATATGATTGGGGTAAACAGATTACAAAATACTTTCTATCGTTTGTAAGCTGTCGAAACCGGAAAATGGCGAATGTGAATGATGCAATCTTATAGAGAGTCATTTCGTTAACGTTTTCAAGATATAACGATGGCAAATGATCTAGTGTTTACGTAACACTATTTTCTAACAGCCAATCTGTCCATATTGACTGACATTCCCCGTTTTTATTACTATCCCACTTATTGACACTGTTTAAGAAGAACAGAACTACTTTCTCTTGTGTAACATTTAATTCATTGATTATCTTTAAATATGTATTATGAAAGAGCTAAATCTGTCTATTGCGGGTCTTTTTCTTAGGCCTGAAATGTTATCTAAATTATTAATTAGACATTAATTAATTTATCCAGACCATAATCAACTCTCGATGTCATCGCTAGCCTGCGTATATAATGGATTTGAATCTGATCTGCATTTCAACGCTCATTTATGATTAAATCAAAAAATCGATACTATGTTATTTATCGTGCCGAATTTAGTAATGATGATTTCAAATCCCCGGTTGTACGTGACCCTAGCCTGTCCAGCTTCGTGGGTTTTCTCCGGGTCCTCCGGTTTCCTCCCACTGCTAAAGACCCCTACGCGCAAGCGAATGATTAAAGTAAAATTTACCCCCCCCCCAAAAAACCCCCCCCCCCAAACAAACCATATGTTAGTCCCGAAATAACCTAGTTTGTGTCGAGTGGACGTTAAACCCCATCTCTCTCTCTCTCTCTCTCATTAGCAAGTTAGGGACATGATACGTACAAACACACTTTGAGCGGATTAAATATAATCAGATTATATATATATATACTCTAATAATGCTGTAATAGCATGTTCCCAACCTCGTCGATTGATGAACGTTGAACTAGCGAACGTCTTATAAATCTTAGTCCGAACAACCAGCGTTAGAATGAAGCGCACCCCGCATTAGTAATCTTTAAAGAAACATTATGGGAGATTAGATAAAGAGTTGACAGTCCTCGCTATAATAGTTAAAAAATAGATAATGTAAAGCGAATTTGCTGAAAATTTCAGACACTCTGAACCTAGAATTAAGCGATTGAATTGAAAGTGATTGAAAGTTGAGCAGCAAATCGAATCCTAATCCAGTAAATATCGCAGGCTAGCGATGACATCGAGAGTTGATTATGGTGTGAATAAATTAATAAATGTCTAATTTAGATAACAGTTCAGGCCTAAAGAAAGATCTGCAATAGGCAGATTTAGCTCTTGCATAATGTATGTTTAATTGTCGCGTTTTCGCTGTGCATAGAAACTTCGTTACGTGTAGATAACATTAGAAGAACAAAGAAGTGTTCAATTTTGATTTATAATTAAATATTACTTAAGGGAGACAGAGAGAAAGGGAGAGAGAAATGAGGTTTAACGTCCACTTGACACAATCTAGGTCATGAGAGGACTAACATTTGAATCAATTTTATTTCATTAATACGTATAGTTCTTTAGCAGTGGGCGGAAACCGGAGGACCCGGAGAAAACCCATGAGGTTTGACAGGCGACCTTAGCTCTTGTCATGTACAAGCAGAGAATCGAAACCACGCCACTTGAACCCATGGCAGACCTTCTTATCCAACGCGCACGCCTTAACCATTTGACCCCCCCCCCCCATATTACTAAAAATAATTTGGTTCCTGGCAATCAATTTAATTTGGTATTCGAGCTTTGTAGGGAGCCAGTGAGTCGGGGAATTTTCATGGGGGGGGGGGGGGTCCCCCTTGTCACTGGTAATGACGGTTAGCTTGGCGTCTTGTCGTTCGGGTGAGACAAAATACGCGGAGCCCCCGTTAGTGTGTACGACAGATGAAATCCATTATAAGAGCTGGTCATAGCGCTGTCGCCCGGGCAAATTGCCCCATAGCACACTGTATGGCGTATTCCGGTCTTTACTATCCTAGTTGGTGAAGAAACGTAGTACGTTAAACCCTATTTCATTTCATGCCAAGCCTACATTTGTATACCCCCCTTCTTGCTTTATCTATATCTTTACCCCCATCGAGGTCAATAAACCATGTTAAGACTTGACACAAACACACGTCAACAATAGGCCAGCCTTTGATGTGGGTTTGCTAGTTCATACCTCTATTGACATGAACCAACCCAATCATAGAATAGTTTAGAAGGCGATGTATTACTCCCGACTTACGCAATCTCTTCCACATATTTGGTCAAAATGGCTATAAATACTCGTGATGTCACATGTCCGGTGGTCCATGGGGCTATATATAGAAGTAGCGGCAATGTTTCTGATAATAAATTTGAGAGATTTATCAAGGTGAACAGAGGTAGGATTGAGTTTTGTATTCAATTAGTAGCATATCTTATTATACACCTGTATCAAGTTTAAATGTTCGTATTGCTATATTTCTGCTTCGATAACGCCATTTTCAAAGTAAAACCCATTGCCGTTATTTTGTCTAGATTTATGCGAAGTCCGTTTCGCAGCTTGATTTGAATTTAATTCTGTGTACAAAAGCTTTTCTATTTTCAAAAAAAAGAAAAAAAGAAAAAAAGAAAAAAAAAGAGAAGTGAATAAGAAATGAATTTCAACACTAAATTTGTTGCACAGCTCGACTTAAAAATTTAATTCTATGTAATACACCTTTTGTACTTCCAAAATGTTATTTTAATATAAAGTAAATAATAAGATAGTATTGAAAAATCAATTATTGCATATTAATTAATTCTATGTTAAACACCTTTTCTACTTCCAAAACGTTATTTTAATATAAAATAAATAATTGGATAGAATAGAAAAAAAGACATTTGATACTAAACGTGATGTTAAATATGTTTAACGGAATTGTTGTCCTATCCGAATGACTAAGCACATGCTGTTATAAAATAAGATAACATACTTGTATAACTTTTTACAATATTTCATGTCCTTGTTTCTGTAAAAAGTAAAAACAAGCCCTTTTTAGAACTCGTCAATATTCGCAAAAAATAAATAAAAGCCTATTTTCAAATTAAATCACTTTTTTTTATCTTTTGATAACAAGATCGGATATTTTATCGGCGACTGTCACTATATTTGATAAAAAAAAAAAAGAGACGAGCATGTGATTTTATTTATCACCCAATATTCACTTGTTCTTTTCGCTCTCCGTTTGTAGTTTAGTGTAAGCTTAAGCCACAGTTGCGAATATGTACTAACGTGTTAGGGTTTGGAAACAATGAAATGGAATTTTGCCCAGATAACGGCACTACGGTCTACCTTTATATCGAATTCCAACTGTCATGGGATCTTTTGTGTGCACACCAATATGTACACAGAACCTCAGAATTTTGTGTCATCCGAACGACTATACGCTGTAGTTTGCCAGACCCTCTGTTTTGCACCACTGACGCGGTTAGGGTTTGGGTTACGGCTAATGCCTAGTTTCCACCGGACATTTTTGGGCTCGGGGATGTACTACCGATGGAGATTTACGAGCCTCGGCGGTGGGGGTGGGGGCGTCGGGGAACAGGTTCCGTGGCGTCAAAGGGAAACTCCGGGTGGGTGGCGGGTGTGTGTGTGTGGGGGGGGGGGGCATCTCGAGTCACGTGGAACTATGGGCAGGCCTCGAGAGAACCGCATAAAAATTCAAAGCCTGCATTATCATGAAAACAAGATCTTCAATTTCCATCGGTAGTACGTACATCAGCGAGGCAAGAAATGTCCAGCGGGACCTTGTCATAAAAACATCTGTGGCCGAAGAGAATAGTGTAATCTAGTGGACATTATATAATATAACAAATGATGTATCATTCATTCATGAAATGAAATGAAATAGGGCTTAACGTCCTACAGTTCTACTCCGAAATGGGGTAATGAAGACGGTCATACGCCGTACAGTGTGATATGAGGGAAATTTTGCCCGGACAGCGGCACTACGGCCTACTCTTATATCGAATTCCAACTGTTAAGGGATCTGTTACGTGCGCGCCAATGTGTACTAGACAGCTGACCTTGTCAGGCCCTCCGTCCTATATCTGGATCTGGATGAACTTTCTCGGCCGAGTCATTCATGATATATACTATCTAAAGATTAAGATAAATACGATATTGAAACAGCCGTTTAAACATACATTATGCAAGACTATCTGACTATTGTAGGTCATTCTTTAGGTCTGAAATGTTATATAAACTATTAATTAGATATTTATTAACAAAACAAGATCATAATCAACTCTCGATGGCATCGAATATTCGAGATCTTAACTAGATTAGAACGGTTCGCCATTTAAAAATTTAATTTAAAAATGGGAAAGCGAGACTAAGTCTCGAATATACCAGAACCCTGGTTACAACTATGAACACATATGGTCAAAACTACAAACATTGATAATTTGGCTCAGAATGAAGTAATTTGAATGAAGTTTTCAATATTTTCATTTTACATTATCTTTTTTTAAAAATTATTATATCAAGAATGACGAATTTTTAATTAAACTCTTAACTAATGTATCTTTAAATCTCAGATTCCTGTGTAATAAATGTGTGCGTTTTGGTAAAATACCTTTTTAAATTCCGTAATATAGCAATACAACGAAATCACATTTTGATTTGAGATCCACGTGTTATGAAATGTGTCAAATGTATCTCAATTTATTTTAATTAATCAAACACGTGAGAAACTTTATTAGTCATAAGATAACGCAGCGTTTCGTGGATCGTTTCAAAAAGAAGTTACCTCCCTTCTCGGATATCCGACACTGTTATATATCACTGTGGTCCTTTACCAGAGGTCACGTACCCCCAACAGTGGTCCGTGGTACAATGATGAAATTTTGTTCTCTCCCACCTACTCCTATTTTCCAAGCAGAATGTGTTTAGAAAAATAGGACCAATTTAATTGTGTAAAAAAGTCGAATCAACATTTTTTGTTGAGAAACCGAGACGTGACTTTGAACATATCTGAAATGAAATAGAGTTTAACGTCTTACTTTTCAGCACCAAATGGGCTATTGGGCTATGAAGGGGTTTTTGACTTTTCGCTCCATCTGAATGACTAGGCGCTTTGTCATTCTAGGACATTTTTCGTAGCCCCACTATCATAAGGTCTGTCATTGAGTCAACTGGCGTGGTTTCGATTCCCCGGATGTACGTGACAAAGAGTAGGGTCGCCTGTCCAACATCGTAGGTTTTCTCCGGGTCCTCCGGTTTTCTCCCACTGCTAAAGCCACCTACGCACAAGCGAATTATTGAAATAAAATTGAACCATATGTTAGTTCCGAAATGACCTGGTTTGTGTCGAGCGGACGTTACCCCCTCCCCCCCTCTCTCTCTCTCTCTCTCTTTCTCTCTCTCGTATCCTCACTTTACCATGGTACATTTTATAAAGGAAACTTCAACGAAATAATTCAAAATGACTTGACCATGGTACATTTTGTAAAGGAAAATTCAACGAAATAATTCAAAATAATTTTTTTTCTATGGGAAAGATAACAGCATATTAATCATTATTCCATTGTTATTTTTATTTATGACCTTTCTTTTCTAAATTTATTTCAGTAAAACATGGGGAGATTAGTATACAGGTTTATCATCATGTTCAGTCTTATATCTACATGTATGGCCACTCCTATTTTTGGTGAGTTATCTTCCCTTACTAATCCTATTAAATATGATCGAGATTATATGATAGCTGGGAATGGCTACTTAACACCGCGAGTGCTCGTAAACCTATCCATTTAGCCCTTGACCGCATATTGTTACTTACAGACCCTGGGTGCTCGTAACCTGACAGATAATGGTTGCGGGGGCTGTAATCCCACTTAATAAACCTACCACGCGTATGAAATGTCGTAAAACGCTTTATTTTTAAACAAAGAACAAAATTACATAATCGCAGAAATTACAATTACACAAGCTTATTCATAAAACAAGGCTATCATATCTCCGAGAAACCCTTAGCCACAGTTCATAATGTAAAGCCCACCACGTACTATTACAATGTCTTTGAACCTCGGTTCAGTCAATCTTGTAAGGCAAGATTATATAAGGAAGGTACTAATTCTTATGGGAATGGGGTGTGTGGGGGAATGGGAGTGTAGGGGGTGGGGGAGGTGAGGGGGAGGGGGTTCAAGGCGGCTAAGTAGGTACGACGCTGGCTCGCTATCCTGGCGGTCGGGTGTTCGATCCCTGTATTGGCCGAGAAAGTTCATCCAGATTTTCCAGCGTGGTTCCCCCTTGTCAGTGCTGTAGGATGGAGGGCCTGACAAGGCTGTCTTGTCGTTTGGATGCAACGAAAAACCGCGGTCCGGTGTACACATTGGCGTGCGCGTAAAAGATCGCTGGACAGTTGGTATTCGATATAAGAGTTGACCGTTGTGCCGCTGTCCGGGCAAAATCGCACTTATAGCACACTGTATGGCGTATGCCCGTCTTCATTAACCCAGTTCAGAGCAGAACAGTAGGACGTTAAACCCCATTTCATTTCATTTCATTTCATTTCTTATGGGAATGGAGGATTGCATAACCCAAATGACAACCACTCTTCTCTCCCTTTACTTCTATTCTATATTGACTGAAAATGATTTTTTTTTGTATTTGCAGAAAGAGGAAGCCTACTAAATCGTTTACAACAAACTGTCAATCAAATAATATCCGAAAAACAGGCAGGGCGGCCAAATCCATTCTGTATCTGCCCTTCTCCTCCATGTTCCTGCCTCACAGGGAATCTCATTGGATAATTGGCATCATTAACGTCAGAAGTTTTTAAAGGGAAAAAACCCTACTACACATTCAATGTAAATTATCTGTAACGGCTAGATGGCGCTTCATTGGTAATGGGCATTATAATAGATGTGGTGTTTAAATGGTAATCTGGTAGTAAGGGAAGTATGCGATATGACCGAAAAACCTAAAAGTGACAGTGATAGAATACTTTTGTAAAGTAGACTTTAAAAGTACTTCTATTGCACGGTGCTAGTAGATATGGTGGAAACCTATGTGTTCGTTTCCTCAAATAAATCATAATCTCAGACTAGAAAATCAGTGTAATTTTACATCGACAGTGGCGTAACCAGGCAACCGATTGATGCTGAACGGACTCAGGACCTTAGCCTGAATCGGAACTGCAATATTACAATTAGGGACGCCACTGTTCATTGAATATGATATCCAATCTCTTGAAATGGCGTCAAATGGCGGTAAATAACGAAGGGCGACAACTCAACTGCCATGTTTTTGAATGGGAAATAACTCTGCCATTGTTTGTTTCATATTTTGAATCTCATGTTATTGTAAATATATATGCATAGTTTATTGCCACTATTTTTATTAATTTATGAAATGTTATGTATATCATTGTAAATAAACATTTATACACTATCATTATGTACTTCACTTTAGCTCCTAATGCCTGTCTTGGTGTGTTTTTGTTCACACACTTGTACGTGACCAGGAGTAGGATCGCATGCCGAACCTCGTGGGTTTTCTCCCACTGCTAAAGACCCCTACGCGCAAGCGAATAATTGAAATAAATATGTTAGTCCCGAAATGACCTGTGTCGAGTGGACGTTAAACCCCATTGTCTCTCTCTCTCTCTGTCATTGTGTGGTTTAGATCCCACAATTGCACGTGAACAGGAGTAGGGTCGCATACCTAACCACGTGGGCTTTCTCAGGGGTCTCTGATTTCCTTCCACTGTTAAGGACTGCTATGCTGCAGCTAATTATTGAAATAAAATTTCAACCATCCGGAGGGACGGGCAAATAGAAGGGCGGATAATGAAATCAATGTTGCGCGGCCAATCGTAGGTCTAACAATCTATTTGTTGTCCGTTCTCACTGTTTATGCACTTTTTGTATTTCCGTTCTCCTTATAAGGTCGAGAGAGAGAGAGGGAGAGACAGAGACAGAGACAGAGAGATAAATGGGGTTTAACGTCCACTCGACACAAACTATGTCATAACTATGTTCAATTTTATTTCAATCATTCGCTTGCGCGTAGGGGTCTTTAGCAGTGGGAGGAAACCGGAGGACCCGGAGAAAACCCACGAAGTTGGACAGGCGACCCTACTCCTTGTCATGTACAACCGGGGAATCGACACCCCGCCAGTTGACTCAATGACAGACCGTATGATACAGCGCGTGCGTGCTAACCATTCGGCCATCCAACCCCCCAAGGTCGACATAAAACCCAAGACTTCACTGAAGGGGGACAAAACTTGTAGGGTTAGAAAGGCGACCCACCTCCGTATAAAGGTTTCTGTTAGGAAATTAGCAGAAGGATTCGATAATCCGACCACGATTCAAGACGTCAATTCAACTCGATTCGTTCCGTATACTTGGACATAACAAATCAATTAGAAGTATTATTAGGTGTTCTGTAGAATCACTTGTGAATATCAGCTACGAACGAACGGATATATCAGAATTAATAGGATCCCTGCATCACTTTCTCGGCCAATGCAGGGATCGAACACCCGATCTCCAGGCTAGCGAGCCAGCGTCTTACCCACTTAGCCACGTGATCCCCGGAATTAATAGGAACGTAAAGCTGCGTCAAAATCTGAGACGAAACTGCGGAAATACTTGTACACCGAATCTCGGGGTTTCGTCTCATAGAGAGAGAGAGAGAGAGAGAGGAAGAGGGAGAGAGAGAGAGTTTAACAGCCACTCGAAACAAATTAGGCCATTTCGGGACTAACATATGTGGTTCAATTTTATTTCAACAATTCGCTTGCACGCGTGGGTCTTTGGCAGCAGTGGGGAGGGAACCCATGAGGTTGGACATGCGACTCTACCCCTTCTCACGTACAAGCGTTTGACAACACGCCACTTGACGTGTACAACGGACCTGATTTTGTCGCCCTATCCGAATGACTAGGCCTGCTCCTTGCCACCCCCCTTTCCCTACCCGCTAACAAGAGTACATTGGGTCAGAACTTTAAGGGCAGATAATTCACCAAATTATCTCCCCTTTATTATGACGCGCTTCGGATGCATTAGTCGTAGTATTGTTTTTAAAAAAAATACACAACATGTGATTGGATACTGAAGGATTATATTATTATATGTTTTTATATTATACTGAGTCTGATATACAATCTAAATATATATATAACATGTCATCGTCACCATGACGACCACAGACAGACCGATCCGGCTGCATCACACTACACCACACCCTTTCTATTACCAACACCAAAATACTTTACTTTAAAATTTGGTTAATTATTTTTAGAATCAAGTGTAATAACTTACTATGAATTATCTATGCGCTTTAAAAAAAATGCAGATGTTCGTTTGAAGAAATACATCTCCGTTGTATTTATTTGAACAAATTACGACATCAGATAAATAAAATTATTCGCGGTCTTTAAACAATTTAAAACAAAAAAAAACACGATTAGATTTTGACAGTTGGCCGGTGTCAATCATTAATAAATATTCATTCTACAAAATAGATAAATAAAATAGTAGATACATTAAAAGTTAAACATTTCTACAAATATACTAACTGAAAACTTCACAAGTTATTATCTTTTTAAATTACGAATTAATGAAAGAAAAAATCGAAATAACTATTTTGTATTCTATATAAAAGGTCAAATCTGGAAGACAGGTCAACAAATTGCATTGTAGATATTTGCCTTGATTGGGCAAATGTTGTAAAGATAAATAGTTATATTATACATTTAATTATTCGTTAGTGTTTCTTTATACATAATAAATACATAAATATTATAAATAATTGCATTTAGTCAAACAAATCAAGCCTGATCTATTCACAATATTACATAATACATCGACTAATCACAATCAGCCTTACATCAAAAACTGAACAACTTTTAACCAATGACACCATACAATACAAAAATACCAATGACGTCATTCTTTACACTAGTTTGAAAGAGCAGTAATGAATTTTGCTAAAAATCTAAATCACTAACGGAACTAGAAAAATGTTGACTAATTTATGAACAAAATTTGTAACTTTCTTCCCCACCTTCTTGAACGAGGAATGGTTCCAATTCTCCTGGAATTATAGACATCAAGCCACGACACAATCCTTGGAATTTCTATCACTGTCCGCGTTCTGCTTCGCATTCTTTGTTAGTTCTGCGCGTTTTGCTTCGATTCTCTGAGTACGTGCATTCTTCTCACGTTCTGTGGCAGAAATTCGTTCTTTCTCGCGAGCTCTCGTCTGTTCCATTTCCTGTTCTTTCTGCACCTGCTTCTCCTTTTCTCTCTGTATTTGTCTCTGTTTCTCAAGGACACGTTTTTCCCATTCCGTGAGTTCACGTGGTTTTTCCGGTTCAACTAAAACCAGTTCTTCCTCCACTTTAGGTTCTTCTTTCTTCACAAAGACTCTTGGTTCTTTTTTCTCCCGGGTTTCTTCTACTTTCGGTTCGTCCTTTTTCACAAACACACGTGGTTCCTTTTTCTCGCGGGTTTCTTCAACTTTCGGTTCGTCCTTTTTCAAAACCACTCTTGGTGCCGCTTTCTGACTTTGTACTTCCACTTTTGGCTCATCTTGTTTCAAGACCACCCTTGGCGCCACTGGTTCTTTTTTCTCGTCCTCCTGCAAACGGTTCCGCATAACCATGAGTAAATTGTCATTTTATAGTTCATAAACACAAAATAATAAATAAATACTAAAACATTACACAGAAAATTAAAAATTAGTCTGTCTTGAACGGCTACAGTTTGCTCTCTACTTCACAAGAACAGAAAATTAAAATCCAATGATAGACCAGCACGTGCAAAGCATGACGTCATTCTTAGAGTTGGTTTCCCCAGGTAACGAATAAAAGAGGATTCGAATCTGTGGTCGCTCATGGTGGTGCCGTTTAAATGCTACAGTTTTCGATTTCTGGGAATTTTCTCGATTTTTTTGTATTTTTTCTTGAATTTATGTTGATATTCAGTAGCATTCCTGAGACAAAAAGAAAATTCGTCTTAGAACGGGTTGTCATTAGTAACAAGAGGCGATAATTCACTAATCCTGCATTCATATAATGATGTAAAATAACTAAACAGAAAACTGAGTGTTACTATTTTTAGTTTGGTGCCAGAAGCCATAACCAGAAAGTGTTAGCAGTAATAGTCACCATGGCGATCACAGTCTGGGTTGAAAACCAAGAGATTATAATAGTTAAGAGTAGAAGATAGAAAGAAATGAAAACAAGAATTTGTCAGGCGATGCAGAAAGTTTATAGAAACGTTGTTCATAAAGTTAAAATACCATGCAATATAAATAAAATATCGAACATCAGAAACGTGTATTGTATGACGTCATTCTTACATCCCAAGTTGTTCTTTCTGTAAATGGCTTCCGGTTAGAATATATATAAACATAGCTCTGTTAGGATATTGCAGATTCATTGAAAATGTTTTTTGGTGTTTAAAGAGAGAGAGAGATAAATGGGGTTTAACGTCCACTCGACACAAATTAGGTCATTTTGGGACTAACATATGGTTCAATTTTATTTCCATAATTCGCTTGCGCGTAGGGGTTTTTAGAAGTGGGAAGAAACCGGAGGGCCCGGAGAAAACCCACGAGGTTGGACAGGCGACCCTACTCCTTGTCACGTACAACCGGGGATTCGAAACCACGCCAACTGACTCAATGACAGACTTTATGATGCAGCGAGCACGTGCTAACCATTCAGCCATCCAACTCCCCTTTGTTGTTTAAACTGTACAGCTCCAATTTAATAACAGTTGTAACAATGATCAGGTTTGCGTATTATTTCTAGAACACCGGATGCCACTCCCCGTAATGGCAGGCGTCAAGTTTGCGTACCCATCTACAGTACCTGGAACGATGATAACACTTCTTGTGCCACTCTCGACACAAGTCTCGTTATCCAGCATTCGACTGCAAGTTTGGACTGCAAGGGAAGACAACTCTGTTTGGGAGATTGTTCTTGTGCGTCTATGAACTTAGTATAAATAACATTTTTCAGTGAATATGCAATTTCCCATATTTCTAAATTACCCTGCAAAGTAAAATCATAGCATAAGCTGTGCACAACATCGACATGCCCAAAACGGATAATAATATATTACAGTTGATCTCGTATGCCTACATCTAACATTATAAACCTTATCTCATGTGTTAACGTCGGCGCCAACTCCTTGAATGGAGTTACCTCCCTTCATCCACTAATACAAAATTCTAAATATTTTCTATAACAATAAATCTACATACCAAATATATTGGCCTGGTAATATACAATTTACTACATTTCTAATCACGTTCATGCTTTTTAGGCCTCTGAAACGTAACATTACAATCAATGGCATCATAAATTAAACATTAACTTGATGAGTTATCTCCCTTGAAACAGAGAACTAATACCAATAGTGTTAATAAATGACCTATTCAATCGACTAGAAGGGTCGTGTTATTTATGAACGCGGAGGGATATAATATAAAGGTCTTTGGGGAGAATTTATTGAATTGTCGGTGCTTTTTTAAATTTCTTTAGCTAAGAAGCGTGATATTAGAGCGCGATTTTAGCATCTGTGCAATAAGTAAAAGGCATATTATCGGATGCGATAAAGCATATAACAAAAATTGCTCAATATGCAACAAATATTGTTACAAAATGATGAAAGCTTACATTAAAATATATAATGCAGTGTTAGGCATTTAGAACTGACATAGTGAGGTTATTTAAGAACAAAAAAAAAAAACATAAATAAATAAAAAATAAAAAACGAAACGAAACAAACATGTAGATTCAATAAATTGGCAATATTGAAAATTTATCTTGTTCAAAATGTGAATAAATTGCAAAAATACTCGCAACCATTAAAATTTAATTGTGGGATTTAATAATTATAATTTTCTTGTGGCGCTATTATTAAAATTAAAGCTTTAATAATTTGGTTATTCCTTTCTTCTCGACTTACATTTATTGTATTATTTTCAATGGCGGGGTTTAATAATTATAATTTACTTGTGACACTATTAAGATTAAAGCTTTCATAATTTGGTTATTCCTTTCTTCTCGGGTTTATATTGTATTGTTTTTAAGCGTCGCATTATGATCCCGTCGCGGATTTGGAACATATAAATTTAAAAAAAAAACCCTCAATAAACATCGGTAGTCTAAAGTCGATGGTCGTCATTTGCATTTGTCTGATCCCCGTTAAAATGTTCTCAAAATTAATTAAAGATATATTATGGGAGATTAGATAGAGATCTGGTAGTTCTCACTATAATAGTTAAAAACTAGATACTGTAAAGGGAATTTGCTGAAAATTTCAGTCAAATTGATCCACTCTGAATCGAAAATTTAGCGATTGAATTTTAGGCCTTGCCTCGATCATCGTTACTAAAGTCGGTACAATAAAAATCATAGTCTCGATTATCTATTTTTTTTTTATTTAATCAATGAGCGCTGAGAAGCATATCCGATTCCGATCCAGTAAATATCGTAGGCTAGCGATGACATCGAGAGTTGATTATGGTTTGGATAAGTTAATTAATGTCTAATTAATAATGTAGATAACATTTCAGGCCTAAAGAAATACCTGCAATAGGAATAGGTAGATTTAGCTCTTGCATATTAATGTATGTTTAATAAACATTCCAATAAAATAAGTAAATCAGAATATCAACATGACTTTATCTAATACTAGTTGGCGCTGATGATGCCGGATAAAGAGAAATTTTAAATCGTCATATCTTTGTAAATTACGAAAGGAAAGGAACTATTTTCGGACTGATATTGCTTTTATAGATTCAACTTTCGCAAAATTGTAGTTCGCAATGGATGTAAAGTCGTCCCTCAAATGAAATGACATGGGGTTTAACGTTCTACTGTTATGCTCAGATTGGACTAATGAAGACGGGCATACGCCATACAGTGTGCTATGAGGGACATTTTGCTCGGACAGCGGCACTACGGCCTACTCTTATATCAAATTCCAACTGTCAAGGGATCTTTTACGTGCACGCCAATGTGTACACGGTACCGCGGTTTTTTGTCCCATACGAACGACTAGACAGCTGTCCATGCCAGACTCTCCGTCTTGCAGCACTGACAAGGGGAAACCACGCCGGAAGATCTCGATGAACTTTCTCGGCCATTACAGGGATTGAACACCCGACCCCCAAATTAGCGCGAGCCAGCGTCTTACCCACTTAGGCACTGTAACCCTAGGGTAGTAATGATGTAGAACTTTCTCGGCCAATGCAGGGATCGAACACCCGACTCCTCAGAGTAGCGAGTCAGCGTGCCCCTACCCCCCTCAAATGACGACCACCGGCTTTAAAATAAAATAATACTCTCTATTAAAATCACTCTTTCACGCTTCAATATATACATACGTTAAATTATCTAAAAAATTTATATATCCTTCGACGACAATTTGTAGAAAACACAACAAAACAATTATCAACTGTGGTTTGGATTGGAAATTATCTGGTCTTAGATTTAAATTAAAGGCTAAAGGAATGACTAAATGTGTTTCTATTTAAACGAGATCGGCATTAAAACGAAAACACGTTACACGATTTATCCGATTTCAAGGTTCAACAAACCGGAAGTGGAAAAGAGTTCCCCGATTCTATATATACGCAGCTTTTTGTTACCTAGGTAACGACCTACGTACGAAAGTCGCAGATTGAATTTAATTTTAAGTTGTCTATTTTGATACTTAACTTCTTCTAATACAGACCCGCTATTTTAAGACAATATTATATTAGATTTACTATCATGATAATATTTTAATAAAGGGGAGTAACTCTAATCTAATCATCATCAAAGCTTAATGGTTTATAAGGTCGCGGCGTCCAGGCCGTAGTAGTGGGACGACATGATACCTCTACAGGCTTTGGTCGTTCCCTTCGACGTCGTTGTCTTCTTGGAACAGGGGAAGAGTTGGGCTCAGGAACGGAATTCTCTGATTGATTATCATCCTGTATATGTCTGGATGTTCGATGATTGTTGTAGCTCTGTTCATCCACGTTGATAGTAATATCCGTTGATGTATTCTTGTCGTCCACGTTTAAGTCGAAAGTATGTACCGTCGTCTCAGATTCTATATCGTACGAGTTGGCCTGTAACGCACGGTTACATTGTCGTGGTTTCTCCAACCGCGGATCAACATCCGTCTGCGTTTCCGTGGACCGGATGTGAAGATTGCTTCCTCGGTAGTTCCTTGGACTGTTCTTCTTTGTAGGTTTATCGGGGTCTTCCAAGTAACCAAGTTCTAGATTTCCTGGGTTAAAAACAACTTCCTTGTGAACGGAGTTGGGAAGCTCCTCCAATTCTATATCCGAAAGACAAGAGAGTTTTTCCTGGACTTGCTTCTTCAGTAGTAGCAACTCTATATCCTTTCCCTTTAAAACAATCTCTGTAAGATTGCATGTGCTTTTCAAACTATCCAGGTTGACCTGCATGTCACTTCGTCTCGAGACATAATCCATCAACTGTTCTCCGTATATATCATGGAGGTCTTCTATCAGTGACTTCTCTTTGTTCCTGATGTCCGAAATGAACTGGATGGCTACGTCCCGGATCTTTTGTTCCGCTGCCTTGATAAGATTCTCGCATTTTTTCAGGAGCTCGAGCTGCGAATCGTAAACATCAATCCGGTCTTTACAACTGGTCAGTAGAGTTTGTATCGCTTCTTTATATTTAACGACGGCTTCATTAAACTGGGTTATTTCGTGATCTTTGTGTTCGTTAAAGGTGCAAAGAACACAGATACACATCTCGCACGGCTCACAGTAAAACCGGACTACTTCGTCCGAATGTTCCTTGCATTCGATATCCTTCTCGATTTCCACATCGAATAAACTGTGTGATTTGGTAACCTTTGTCTCTTTATGTAAATCCACACATTGTTTACACAATAACTTATTACAGTCCAAACATTTAGACGAGGCCTCGCGGTGCTTCCGGTTCACGAGCTTACAGATGTCACAGAAGGGAAATTTGGAAGGCTTTTGTCTGGTGACGACCTCTGATAGACTAGATACCAGGAAATTATCCGGAAGTTTCTTGACGCCACCTATCGGTAGCTGGGTTCGCTTCCGGCATAAAGGGCAGGTAAACTCTCTATAGTCACTATACTTCTTATAGGTACATTCTGTCAGCACGTGATTATCTATACATGGTTCGCAGAAAGTGTGCAGGCAATCCAAACATTTTGGCGACTTAAATGGTTCGAGGCAGATTTTACATGTAAGAAATTCCTCATTGATCTCCTGGGCTAGTTTACTTCCGGCTGTCGTTGTCGCCATTCCACTGAGGTCAATACCCTGGGTAAAATAGCGGTCTCGTTCTATACGACGACGGTACCTGAAAATATATGGAAACATTGCTTAGATTCGTTGCTATTATCATTTGTAAATTAAAATTTTATTTCAAGGAATAAGAATGATCGAACGATATTGATTTATTAAAAGGGGAAAGTAGTCTCTATCATTCAGACAAATATTCATCGAATATTAGTCTGAATGGGTTATCAACATTTGAAAATAACTAGGCCATTGGCTAGATTATCCAGCCTTTTACATTATCATGAACAAAATCTTAGAGAGGTTCTTTTAAATTTGAAACGTTTTCTGAGATACTTAAATATAGTGTCCAAATTTGGAAATAGTAAAGGTAAGCTGACAGTCAATGATATATACGCCCACACCAGTCCTTAAAAGTTCCAGCATTTTTATTTTATGTACTCGTTCGGATGGGACGAAAAACCGAGGTCCCCTGTACACATTGGCGTGCACGTAAAAGATCCCTTGGCAGTTGGAATTCGATATAAGAGTAGGCCGTAGTGCCGCTGTCCGGGCAAAATTTCCCTCATAGCACACTGTATGGCGTATGCCCGTCTTCATTAGCCCAGGTTAGGAGCAGAACAGTAGGACGTTAAACTCCATTTCATTTCATTTCATTTATTTATTTTATGTACTTAACGGGAGCATTAAAAAATGATCAAGGGCAACAAACCATAAACTAATTATCCAATAAGCCGATCGCGTGATAAATGATATTGCACTCTGGTTGGGCATGGGGTTTGAATGGAATAAATTTCAAACATGGCCAGATGTTTTAAAAGTTTTAAAAGAAAGCCGTTAACATAAATGGCGGCTGGTTGTATTAAAGTAAAGCGTCAAGTTCAGGTGGCACTAAATAGGTTCAACAATCTCCCGAGTCTTCCCTCAGTGTTTTAAGATTTAGGGTGTAAACATTTGTTCCATTGATGATAAGATTACACTTAAAAACAACAAGAAGTCAATTGTGCTTCCTTTTCTGAACAAAGATGGGCCTGATAGACCATGTCTTTCTTCTTTATACTCTTGAACATCACACAAAGAATTCCTTTAATAAAACCCGATGTTAGAACTTTGAGGTATATTTGATCATCTTTAAAAGACTGCTTTGAATAAAAAAAAATGCAATATGATATGTATTTCATTATCAAATCATCATTGGCAACACCCAAAAATATTATTATACATTTGCTCATAGTAAAGTATAGTTAGTTCAACTGAACAACGTCAGATCATACGGTTTGAAAGCACAACCATAAGGGGGGGGGGGGTCTATTGTCGTTCTCGCTTGTGATTCAATGCCACTGCTTGCTAATGGGTTCGATGCAATTGAATGCAACTGAGCGCTAAATGAACAAGGCATCACAAGTGGTACTATTTTGTTTTTCAACCAACTGTGATGCATTGATAATATGATACGGTTTTGAATGTTGTAAAACATTTCTTGCAATAAACAAATAAGTTATTAGTTTTAACACAATCATTTAGATTTGGAGATGACTGGTTGGTTTTAAGTGTATTATTGTGCTTACTAATTATTACACACTGTTCGTATCTAAACGGTGCCATTAAAATTGATCACTTGTAAATTAAATGGTTGTGTTTAAACTAAACGGTGGTGAAAACCGCATGCTTTTATTGCTAATTCTAAACAATATTTGCAACCTTCTAAACTTTAATCTATAAAGTTTATAGATTAAACTTATAGATGCAATTTTCTAGATATCAATTCCAGGCACTACTGCTTTTTTGTCCAAACTGCATGCTTTTTGTTAATTCTAAACAATATTTGCAACTTTCTAAACTTTAATCTATAAAAGTCCAGTATATATGCTTAACCCTTAAAATATTTCAGTATTCATTTGTCTAATTATATCATATATCCTAAAACTGTAAAACTAAACTATTCAAAATCACCTTTTAAAACAAAATATTAAAGCAAGAAGTACATTTGAAATTCTATCTGGAATCTATTAAAAACCTTATCGCTTTACTCTCCATGACAACTTGTCGACCCCATAAACTAAATAACGTTCATTAACATGATTTCAACACCAAATCACGTGACTTCATCTGGGAACAGACGATAAAACTCGACGTGAATCAGGGATTAACCTGTCAGCTGTTATCTGTTCTATCAACCTGTTTTATAAATCTTTACATACCGGCATACACAGCAGCTAAACGGTATATATCGCCAGGTTATTTTTAACCACTAATAAGCCTTCAAGATCTGCATCTGCGAGCCTGTAAGTTTACTGAAATTGATGACGTCATTGAGTGTAAGATAAGACGGGACAGATGTTTGATATTGTTTGATCTTTGACCCGTATATTGAAGGTATTAAGGTGAGAATACCAGCACGGTATATAAAGAATAGTTTAGTATGTAAATAAGACTTTTTACATGATGAGTAATACCTGGCGATATCTATACATATTCCACACCTTAATATCTTATTAAATAGGTCACTGGGCGAACGTGTCAATATCAGTCAATATACAGGTAACGGTATATTCCAGGTAGAAAAATCGTATAAACCGCCAGGTATACAAAATTCCAATCAGATGAAGTTCATATCAGCCATCAATATCAGATAACCTATATGTAACGGAAATGAAATGGGGTTTGACGTCCTACTTTTCTGTACCGATTGGGCTAATGGAGACGGACGAACGCCTTTCATAGTTCGATGAGCTAAATTTGACTCATACAGGCACATTACGTCCTACTCTTATTTCGAATTACAACTGCGAATGAATCTTTTACGTAAATGAAATGAAATGAAATGGGGTTTAACGTCCTACTGTTAATCTTTTACGTGCATGCCAACGTATCTCGGGTTTTCGTCCTATCCCAACGACGAGACATTGTCCTTGGCAGGCCCTCCGTCCTACACCCACTGACAAGGTCAACCACACTGGATAATTGCGGGGAAATTTCTCGATCAATACTCGGATTGAACCCCAGACCTACAAATTAGCGAGACCGCATCGCCTTACTCACAGAGCCACCGCGGAACTCCAAAGATAACGGTATAATCGAATAACTCTGCAGGTATATACATATTGGTCTCTATAAGAAGAGGTGCTGTAACATTTAAACATTGACGAAATAACTCAAATCATCAGCTGGCGACGAACGAGTAAATCCAGTTAAAATGAATTTTAAATGTCTATCTTCATGAAAAACAAATATCCCGTTTTTAACTTTTATAGTGAAATTTCAATCTTAGTTTTGTCTGGGTACTAAAATCGGGAATGCAATCTTTTATTTGCCTAGCGGATTTTTCATTTAGACTTAAGAAAGTCAAAACATAATTATTTCTATGTCTTTTGCTCAATAGGTTATCAACTCACTATCATACGATCATAGGCATTATTTCCTACACTTAAAAATCATTGACACAGGAAATAAGAACACAATTACCTCCCTTGTTTTCCTAATCCCCCCATGGAATAGCTATCTTCAAACGTTTGAATTTGAAATTGAAAATGATATTTTTGCCAATTTCTCAACTGGCAATAGTCAATTATAGGATTAATAGGAGTATTCTTTAACAAGGTAGGACTGTTTATAGATACCATCTATTTTAAGGCTTTATTTTAATAAATATTAAAAATATAACTTAAAAATATGAAATTGTAACTTTAAAGCACTAGATGGGATCGGCTGTACGTTGTACATTTTGTGCCGAAAAGTTATCCATGAAATCAGAAACTCTGTCGAAAAAAGCAAAGGTGGAAAATTTATCATTGACAAAATAAAGACATTGAACTTTAATCTTTTATCAAACAATATGTAGAATGTTATAGACGTCTGTAGGCTAACTATGACGTAATGGCAGGTGAAATGAACGTGCATCATATGGTGATGTTAATGGAAGGTATACAAGGTGATGCTATTTATAGTAACGTGATATATAAACCATGGTATAACGTTAATTATAATATATAAGTATTTTAATATACACATACAGTATATATTTTCTTACAAAAATGAAATAGGTGTAACGATAACGTCCTAATTTTCTGCTCTCTACTCTTCGTCGAAATACAGACGTCGGGTGTTCGTGCCACCGAACGAGAGAGAGAGAGAGAGAGAGATGAGGTTTAACGTCCACTCGACACAAACTAGGTCATTTTGGGACTAACATATGATTTAATTTTATTTCAATAATTCGCTTGTGCGTAGGGGTCTTTAGCAGTGGGAGGAAACCGGAGGACCCGGATAAAACCCACGAGGTTGGACAGGCGACCCTACTCCTTGTCACGTACAACCGGGGATTCGAAACCACGCCAGTTAACTCAATGACAGGCCACCTGAACGACTAGACACTAGAAAAGCCCGAGGAACGTCATTGGGCAACGCCGGAATCGCACCCTGAACTCCTGAGTAGTAAGCCAGCGTCTTACTGGTCTATCGCTAATCCTATTGTCTCTTAGATCAACAATGTATACTGTATACAGCAAGTGCCATATTACTATATCGACCAGGAACCGAATATGACGTCATCGCCGCCATCTTGAAACTGAGAAGTCCGTCATCTTAAAATTAAGAATACCTTCAAACTCTGCGCAATTGTCTAAGGAACAAACATGCCAATTATGTCGCCGAAAAGCGCCGCACCCAAAAACTAAAAGTTGAAACGTGCATAGGGCCCAGTTCGTGGTCCAAAAATATAATAGTGGGCAGAATTGATCTGTTCTACAAAACGTTCACATAAGCGGAAGAAATTGAATGTGGAAGTTCACTGAGTAATCTTTTAACCATATTTTGACACAATACATTTAAACATGCATTATGCAAGAGCTAAATCTGATTATTGCAAGTCTTAATTTAGGCTTCAGATGTTATAGAAATTATAAATTAGATCTTTATTTAAACAACAAGACCAAAATCAACTCTGTAGACCCACGGATGGCTCGGCTACAGCTCGGATTTAAATAGGATTTCACTAATTGATTAAATCAGATAAGGGGTAACCTGATGAAAATACGTCAGCTAGATCGAGGCTAAATGATA